TAGGATTAATTATCAATTTTCCATTAGGATTAATTATCAATTTTCCAGCAGGAGGGCCCTGATTGTTCTTTTTTCCCCCCATATGTTTTCCCCCCATAAAAAGAACCTCACTCTGGTTGTTGCTCCCACGAGGCCTCCCCTTGGTCTCTTTTCTGGTTGCTTGGATAATCAGCAGCAGGATGGACATTCCACTCACCATGAGCAGGATCAGACACAGCAGGAGGAGGGAGAGAGAACCTGGGAAAAATACAGAAAGAGATATTAAAAAAAAAATTCAAACAAATCAAAGATTTAAAAAAAAACGCTCCAGCTGGAGATCCCAAAGCTTTCCAGCTTCAAAAGGAGGGATCTGGAAGTACTCCTGAACCACAAAGCCTAAAAATCCCAAATCTGGAATCTTGTGTCTCGCTGGAAAGCTGTGTAAAATACAGATATGGTTCTGAGATGGAGTGGGATTTTCCCTCCCAGAAAAATCAGCTTGATTTCCCCTCCCAGGAAAATTAGTGGGATTTCACCCCACAGAAAAATCAGCGGGATTTCCCCTCCCAGAAAAATCAGTTTGATTTCCTCTCCCGGAAAAACCAGTTTGATTTTCCCTCCCAGAAAAATCTTCACCCCCCAGAAAAATCAGTTTGATTTCCCCTCCCAGAAAAAATCACTTTGCTTTCCCCTCCCAGAAAAACCAGCTTGATTTTCCCTCCCAGGAAAATCTTCACACCCCCACCCCCCCCAGGAAAATCACTTTCATTTCCCCCTCCCAGAAAAATCAGTTTGATTTCCCCTCCCAGAAAAATCAGTGGGATTTCACCCCCCAGAAAAATCAGTTTGATTTTCCCTTTTGGAAAAATCAGTTTGATTTCCCCTTCCAGAAAAATCACTTTGCTTTCCCCTCCCAAAAAAAATCAGTTTGATTCTCCTCCTAGAAAAATCAGTTCGACTTCCCCTCCTAGAAAAATCAATGGGATTTCCCCTTCCAGGAAAATCTTCACCCCCCAGAAAAATCAGTTTGATTTCCCCTCCCAGAAAAAATCAGTTTGATTTCC